CCTCCCAAAACTCACGGAAACTCTCCACCGCCATCTCCCTAATCTCCCCCCTCGCATCCCCCGCAAAAGGCGCACACAACACCCCTCCAAACGTCCCCAACACCCCCGGGTCCAGCGGCAAACACTGAACAGCCACAAGCATCGTCTGATACATCGGGAGGATCTAAAAAAAAGTCACCACCGTCAGCACACCACCCCCACCCAAAAAACAAAAGAGTCAACTCACATCATACTCAACAACCCCCCCCTCCCACCTCCCCTCCGCATCCCCAACCCACACCCCCACCGCCTCCCCAATCGCCTCCCCAAGCCCCCGCACCAGCTCCCCAGGACACACCTCCACAAGCCCCGCCACCGCCCTCGCCGCCCACGTATACGTCGTCTGGTCCCCCCCCAGCGGCGGCGGGTACGCCTTCCCCATCGTCCCACCCACAAACTCCAGCACCCCCTCCGGCAGCTCCCTCAGCTCCCCCCTCGCAGCCACCCCCGCCAGATGCATGCTCACGAACTCCACAAGGCGTATCTGCGACGCCAGGTACCCCCGCGACTCGGAGGAAACGAGCGCGGTAAGGGCGAAAAGGACCGTTCCGGCATCGTGCCCATAATCCAGCGCCGTCGCCACGGCATGCTCCAACAGCTCCTGCCACGCCTTCGCATCTTCACTCGTCAACGCCCACCCCTCCTTCTCCACACTGACAAACGGCACGCCTAGAATCGCCACGGCCCCCTCCCACGTAGCCGCAGACCCCTGCTGCATCCACCCCCTCACAAACACTCTCCACGCCCCCGCCTTTTCCTCCTGTGTCCACCCCTTCTTCTGATCTTGGCTTCGCTCGTCGTATCCCCAGAACGCACGCACCCCGTCCCCACCCCACACCGCCACGACATCCACACAAAACTTCGCCCACATCTCATTCGTCTCCTCGCCGTCCCCTTCTCCTTCTTCCCCGTTCTGGTCCTCCACCCCCATCACGGAAGAACCAGTGAAAGCCGTATACTCCCCCACACCCCCAATCAAACACCCCCCCAGCCTCTCCGCCGCGTCCCCCAACATAGCATGCGGCACCACGCGACACATCACGCTCCACAGCTCGCGCGCGTACGCCAGCTTCGCGAGGGCGCTGGACGAGGAAGAGGACGAGGCAGGGAAGCCTGGGATATCGAGACCGCGCCAGCGCTGCGTCTTGGTCTTGGGGGGAGCAAGGTCGAGGTTCGCGTCTTCGAGGACGAGCGTGATGATGACGTCCACAGCGCGAAGCGTGAACTCCGCCACCGCATCCACGTCGTGCCCGGATTCTTCAGCGTCAACATCAAAGTCCGCGTCCCCATCTCTGTCTTTATCTACCCAAAGAAACCAATCAACATCCCTTCTCCAATCTCAAGAAGCAAAAGAAAAAACTCACCCAAGACAGCAGCCAACCCCATCCCCACCATCCCCTCCCAAACCCCCACCAACTCCCCCCTCTCCCTCTCCCTCTCCCCCCTTTCCCCACTCCCACCCCCACCACCCCCATCCCCACCCCCCAACGCCCCCCTCCACGCCCTCACCAACCCCTCCCACACCCACGCCCTCCCCACCTCCTCCCCCGTCAGACACCTCACATCCTCCGCCTTCGGCGTCTCCTCAAACAGCGGGTTCACGCTCGCCTTCAGCGCGCCGTACTCTGTCGACAGGAGCCCAGGGAGCGCGGAGAATAGGCCTTGGGGGAGCAAGGTCCTCCTGCTGTCCCCTTGTTCGTGTTCGTGTTGGGAAGGAGAGGCGGAGGGCGAGGAGGAGGAGGGTGGGGCGCCGACCAAAGCGCGCATGGTGTCGATGGCGGAGCTACACGTCGCCGCGTCCTTGCACACCATGGCGTATAGGACGTCCATCCCCCTCCTCAACCTCTCCTCCTCCCCTTCCCCCCCGTCTCGTCCGGGGAGGTACTTATACCTTGGCGCCTCGAACAGCGGCACACCGACGTTGGTGGACCCAACATACGCCGCAAGCGTACACACCCCCGTCTCATACTCCGTCACACTCCCCACAAGCCTCCACCACTCCTCCCTCCCCCTCCTCACCCTCTCCTCCCTCTTCCTCCCCTCCCCCCCGTCTTCCCCCTCATCATCGTGGTGGTGAACAGGTAAAGGGAAAGGAGGCTGGAGAAACACCCAAATAACAACCCTCCAAAGCACACTCCCCAGCGCCCTCACCGCCTTATTCCGATGCCGCAACCCCAGCCCCATCACCCCCCTCATCCCCGCCCCCGCGCCCCCCACCGCCTCCGGCCCAAGCAGCACCAGCAACGACGCAAGGACACACGTCCCCCACACGGGGCCCTGCGCTACGTGCGCCACCTCCGTCGCCTGCAGGACCGTGCGCAGCGTGCGTATGATCGCTGGATCCAGCGAGGACGCGGACTTGGTCGGTGACGCGGTCTTCAAGTTCGTTTTCGTGGGAGTGGTTGTGGCCACTCTAGGCGGAGACGGCGTCGTCACGAACTCCCCTACGATCCCCGCCATCCGGACATGCAGCCCCGACCTTGATATCCTCGTCGCGCCCCACACGAACCCGCCCAGCGCATGCGCCGCATACGTCCGGAGGGCGAGGGTCGGCGCGAGGAGGGTGCGCAGGACGGCGGGGAGAAGGTGGGGCGTGAACGCGGGGATGAACACGGTGGGAAGGTGCGTTGATAGATCGTGGATCGCCTTCCCAAAAAAAAAAAAAAAAAGAAAAAAAAGGCATGAGTATATGCGTCTCCGAAGTATATAGAAGAAGAAGAAAGTGATGTACCTTAAGCCCATCGCTCGCCGACCCCTTCTTCCCCTCCTTCCCAAGCTCGCCCTCAATCCCGCGGCATAGCGCATTCGCAATGCGGTCAGCGGCGGGCGCGAGGACCTCAGCGGGGAGACGCTGCATCTGGATGAGCCATATCGCCAGCGCCCACGTTTTGCGGGCATTCGGGGTGGGCAGCTCGTCGGAGAGGGGGATGGCTAGCACCGCTGTTAATATCAGGCCCAATTGCGCGTCTAATGATTAATGTAACCAGGGTTAGTGATAGAACAAATCATGAGAAGAGAGTGTACGTGCCTGTGAAAATGTTGATGACAGCGGGGAGCGTGAAGACAACAGAGAGCATCCTAATCACCGCATGACTCGTCGTACACAGGTCCCGTGCAAACTTGACCTGCTCAGCGCTCATCCCATCCCTCTTCTTCTTCGGCGTACTCTTCGGCGACGGCAATCCCACCCTCACCGGTGCCTCCTCCTTCTTCTCCTTCTCCTCACCCTTCGGAACAAACGTAGCAGGATCAACCAACGCCCTCCCCAAATCCCTCACAACCGCCTCCACAAACGCCTCCCTATTCTTCCTAAGCGGCTGGAACAGCGGCCACGACGCGTCCACATCCGTCCCCCCCGTCACACACGTCCTCAGCCGCGCCATAAGCACGCTATACGCCTCAATCAGCCCCCTCAGCTCCGTCGTCTTCTTCACAATCGTCGCCACCGGGTACTCCAGGTACCTTAGATTCACCAGGGGGTCCGCGGGCTCCGGCGTCACGTCGCGCGTCTTCTCCTGGGGCCACGGGACGAGTAGTGAGGAGGTGGTGGGGGGTTTCTTGAGGATGGACTTGGTTGGGGGGCGTCTGGAGGCCGTGGGGACTTTGGGGGCGGAGAGGGTGAGCTGCAGGACGTGGATTTTGTTGGTTTCGGACCAGACGACGCGCGGGTTGTGGCAGTCGAGGTTCTCTTTGTCTTTGGCGCGGCGGTGCGCGGTGCTGGGGGGTGTTAACAGCGACATTTATTTAATTTATGCAAATCTTCCTGGGCGATGTGGGGGGTATATGAGAGAAAATGCAGTGGGAGAGGGAGATAGGGTATGGGGAGGAGGAGGGTCGTGTCGAGGACAAGACGTGTAGAGAAATGTCACGCGTGACGCGAGCTTTATTCTGGGTGTGACCAATAAACGGCTTTATTGACGCGTCGCGCGCTTTGTTTGTTCGTCACGACACCGCATCCGCACGTACCACCCTCACCGGGTGACCCTGCCACTACGATGAGCAGTGTCGAGTACAAAGGCGCTATGACCCCCGTTTTACAGCGCTACTTCGATTCAGAATGCGCCACATTATGCTTCATCATAAACCACTCAAACCCCTCCACCACCACCTTATGATCCTCCACCTGCGGCAATCCACTCACCGCCACAACCGCCACCACCCCCTCCACCCCCCTCACCCTCACCGGAAACGCCCCCCCATGACACGCATACTCCCCATCATCCACCGGCGCCATCTCGCTCACCCTATCCCCCTTCCCCCCCTTCGCCCTCAGCTTCTCACCAAGGTACAGGGAGGAACAACCATATCGGAGTACGGTATTTGTTTTACGTGTGAGCCAGGACTCGGTGTCGGGGATGCCGGGCCCGCAGGTGAGGGTGGCGAAGAGGACTTGGAGAGTGGGGAGGGAGATGCGGATGGAGACGGGGGTGGAGGGGTGCGCGCCGAGGATGGTGGAGCGGAGGTGGATGCCGAGCTCGAAGGCGTCCAAGGCGGTGAAGTGTGGGAAGATGAGGGTGTCTTGTTGGAATGTGATTTCGTCGAGGAGCTGGGTGGGCTTGTCAGCGTACGGTTAGACGAGGAAGGGGTAAGGGGAGACGTACCGGGGTTGACATTTTGGTTGTGGTGGTGTGAGGATGGGATTATGTGTGGGATGGGGCAGTCGTCATACGCAAATAGCCCACATCGGCATCTCCGGCTAATATACTTCCGCGACCTTCGATATGCATCTCGAAGTATGAGATCAGCAGGGACCTCTTTCCCAGCGTACTGACCGCGCGATGATACAGCTCATCGAAGCGACTACCATACCACTCTCAACCTTGGCCTGATAAAAACCGCATACTAAAAGCAGATGAGTGCAGGACATCATGATAAGATCCCGTCCGTCCGCACGATCGGAGATAAGCATCTCGATTCCATCACATCCACCACATGCTCTGCCCTCCGAAATCTCCTCCAACTCCCTCTTAGCTCAGTGGTAGAGCGCGTCACTAGTATGCAAAGTTTATGACGAAGCTAGGCTATGACGAGGTCAGTCGTTCAAGTCGGCTAGAGGGAACTTCTGCTTTCTGAAAAAAAACACTTTTTGACTCCCGGAAGTAACTTATGCCCAACAGCAATTAGCAGTACCTACCACCTAATACCTATTGCTACCACCTATTGCCGTCCGAAATACGGATCCCACTAATACTGACGCGCATCCAAGACCGCCTTCCCCTATGGACTTCCCTCTGAGCTCATGGGTAGAGCGGGCAGTAACACGGGCAGCTGCCAAGTCATTCAAGTCAGCTAGAGGAAACCAAGATACAACTTGTCATCGTTCTTTCTTTCCGTCTCTGCAGATACGCTTAACCGTATTGCAATTTCGAAATACAGGTTGGAACCGTTTGTGGAAAGCCATCACTCGCATTTGCATTCCACAGGCACCGACTATGTAGATGGAACGCCACATTCCCAGCCGTAAGGGAATCGAGACCTCTAAATTCATTATCCACTCTGCGAAGAAATCGCGAGTGTAGAGGGAACTTGCCCTTGCCAGCTGTAGATAGCCGCTGGAAGTTGTAGAAAGTGTGACTCTCCACCTCTCGAGGCTTCTCAGCGACTCATCGTCATCTTCGGGGCTCTCCATCCTTATCCTTATCCTGAGTCCCAGCGCAGAAAAGAGTTGTCCGAAGTTTCGCTCCGTCCAGCATAGTATAGGTCGTCTTCCCCCAGCATACTTCCTCTGAGTCGGCGCAGTATATAAAGGAGACGTACTGTACATACAGCATATGTATATCCTACATTCCAGGCGCTAGATATCGGGTATCTGAGGGTCCATTCCACAGCAAGGCAGGGCATACGCATCAACAACAGGTTCAGTTCTAGATTCGGGGGTATCGGGGAGTCCATCCACAACTTTTCGGGGCAAGGCGCATTATACGTTCCCGACGACTCAGTTCGTCTTGGTCTTGTTCTTCTGCGCAACGCGGAGCGCGCGTGCAATGTGCCCATACGAATCGACCATCAGTCCAAGAGGGATGATCACCCATCTGTGCGAGCAAGTCATGATCAGGCACGTCCACCAGGTAAAAGGGATACAGAACACGCACATGACATTCATGAACTACACCGCAGAAAACACAGGTCAGAGCTGGGACACATGCGGGAGAGTAGAAGAAGAGCACGCACGAAGAGGTACACCCATAGGAACAGCGGGTTCGACGTATCAAGGTTCGGGCTCCCAGTCAACCACTCCGGACAAAACGTCATCCACCTTTCATACCACCCCCACACAGAATCAGCATCCATCCACCCCCACTTCCACTTTAAGACAAGCTCACCCGCCATAAAGCTCCGCAGTACTCAACACCACAATCCAATAATGCCTCGCCGGGTCCCCCCGCGCGAGCAGCGTGAGGATATAGCAGCAGAGGGGCCCAGCGCCGAGGACGGTGAGGATCTCGAGGGACACGACCGTTGGGTCCGCGAAGCCCCAGCGGAAGTCGGCTGCGGCGTATTCGCGCCCTGCGAGGAAAGGCAAAAACGGGGTGTCAGGAGTGGTAAAAGTTAAGAGGGGGAGAGGGGACGTACACATGGCAGCGAAGGGGCCGGTGCTGGTATTCACCTGCCGTCCGAACGTGGAGAGGTATAAGAAGGAACCTTCGAAGGAAAAGTGGATCAAGGCGTCGAATGCCTACATCACATCACATCCCAACATCAGCAAGATGGGCATGAAGACAGGGATAGCGACTTACGAGCCAGATAAACGTATACCTATCGATACGCGGCGCGTTCTTAGGCAAGAAAACGCGTGAGCCGACATACGCGATGATGTACACGCCGAGCACGCCCGCGAGTGAGTACGCCGACGTGAGCGTGAAGATGTCTGCGAGTGTTTTTGTCGTCGCTGCGGTCATGGCTGGTCACAAGGCGGCCTTACACTCAGATGAATGGGAAAAGCGCGTCGGAGAGAGGGACAGGCGTGGGATGTTGAAGTTCCCAAGCCGAAGACGCCGAAGAAGCACCGACACGACTCCGCGGCCCTGCACGTCCACGTGCGCGAATAAATACCCGCGAACGCCGTCCACCGTCCGCTCTTCCCACCATCCCAAGGCAGCTTCTTCCCCAAGATGGAAGGTCGTGAACGTCCTACAGTGCGCCCGACAGGTCTTCGAATTCGCAGCGGGCGCCAGCGACGTCGTATACCCAACATACCAATGCCCATCTCGTACGCTTTTCGGGCGTTGACCCCGTCTGAATCGTCCACTACACGTCGCTTCAGTGCACCGAAGACAGTATGTTCTCCCGCTCCCCACACTCCTCTCAACACACGCTTCGGGGCGCGGAAAACCACGCACCCACACCCACACCCACGCCCATGTTTCACCCTCCACTTACACGTCTTCCCCTCTGTTCGGGGCCCATGCCCGACTAGAACCATCCAGCCCGACGGATCACCTATCCAGGAATAGGATACAGGCTATGACCTGGCGGCATCATCCACCGCCCTGGACTGGACATCAGCATCGCGGTCATAGCTCATGATCAGGTATGGGCGCCGCTGACATGCCCGTGTCATCACTATCGTGCTCTGATATGAACGACGAAACATCATCTCGACCGGCCCAGACGTATTTTCCACATCCCCGATGCCGATGGGTCTACGAGTAGTCCACCAACCAGATCTCAATGCACGGGGCCGGATACAGATCGTGTACGTTCCAGTTCTATGCTTGGATCCCGAGCACACATCGTGTACGTTCCAGGTCTATGTTTGGATCCCGAGAACAGTCAGGACGAGTCATCGAGCGCTTGTTCGGCGGTCGCCCGATGGATCACCTCCCCAGCAGGCATTCGCACCCTACTATCCTGTGAGGCGCCTACCCCCGACACCCCCGACGTGCCTACGTCCATGATCTAGCCTGCTCGCGCTTCCATTCCTCCCGCATTTACCACCCTAAGTGACTAAAGCGCCTGACTGTTTACAATCTACACGCGCGTACAGATGCTCGTCATGTTTTTTCGAAGCATCTTCCTGAGGTTCAAGTTTACCCGGACCTGACAGCGACACCACCAACGCGACATTTGGACACTACGGTGCATGTGGACACCAGGCCTGCCCCTGCCCCTGGGAATGGCAGACAGCACCTATGTACACGGTACACCTATCACCTCCAGTATCAGTATCAGAAGAACTCGAACTTCTCCAACTGATCTTATCATAATCATGACAGACACGCTGGCTGGCGGCCTGATCACTTTCTCCGAGTCGTACGCTGGCACGTCTTCCTATCTCTCATCCTCTTCTTGCTTCGTGGCTTCGTATCATTGTACATGCACACACACCCTCTCGCGTATCCACCTTCTCTCGCGGGAATGGAGATGGGGCCGCTTATAATGACCCATCCCACTGCTGATTCAGATCTATTTTTTTTCGGGACTCGCCTCATGATTATCGCTGGGCCATGAGAGAAAATAGCAGAAAAAAGGAATCAAGCTTGTGTCGATAAAGCTCCCATGATCAGCACTCCCACCAGCTCACGCGAAAACCATCGGCCTCCTGCGATCCAGCTCAATCCTACGTTATAATACTATCTGACAACTTTAAGTTCTCCTTTCTGCTGTGGATCCGCATCTATAAACTCAAACTCATTCGGCCTGTTCAGCTATGCTTACATACATACAACATGGATAAATGGACATGGGTCGTTCCTTACCACCAGATCCACCGAGTAACTTCGGATCTCAGAGTCATTGTCCCCAACAGGTGACCTCATCCGTCTCGGTCGCTTGGCCGAATTCGACGGCGCGCTTAACGTAAACGCCGTGCGAGCCTGTGTCGATAGATGGGGAAGGGGCGTCGTCGGTGCTCATCCCCGCGTCGAGAACTCGAAGTAGTCGTCATCGTGGTAAGGGTCGCGTTGTCGTATGGCACTACCCTGAGTGAAGAAGTTAGGAAGGTAAGCATTGTACACATACATACGCACCCCCGGTGAAAGCTCGCGCGACGAATGTCGTATTAGTAAAGCCACCTGGATAACTATCAGAACGTACCTCCATTCCAATACCATCACCTGCCCCATGGCCAAGTCCCTTGCCCAACTAAGACGTGAAGAATCTCGATTCCGGCAGTGTCCGTGATTCTCGCATGCGCTGGCAGAGACGGGTGTTGATGGGGTTTTTCTAAGCCTTTGCACCCAGACGGTTTGGGGAGAATGGTGGGTGGATATGTGTGGTGGGCAGGGGGGAGGGTAGGGCTGGAGAGAGAGGGTCGTGAGTGATCGAGCGGGGTGGGGGAGGCGCCATCCCGAGAAAGGAACTTTTTCTGCCAAATGGGGTTTTGAATGGGCGTGGAATTTTTTGTGGTGGGATGGGTGGTCGCTGACTCGTCTTCGTCTGTTGCACCACTGGATTATGATACTCGTCTGGTGCACAGTGCACCGCTGATATGTATCGGGTTCTCGTCAGCTGCACTGAATAGTACTGCACGCCTGCGCAGTTGTGGAGCACGACCTAGTGTTGCCGCCGAAGTGAACTGAATTCGAAGTTAATTCGCTTCAGTTCGAAAATGATGCCACTTCGTTGCAGTTTGTTTTGACGAAGTGACATCGAAGTAAGTCCACGAACTGGGAACAAACTGATCAAATGATGATAAATCCTATGATAAGCGATCGCGCTGCTTATCGGCGCATCTCTACACCTGCTCTTTAGTGTTTCACGAGTCGCAAGTCCCATCCTCAGCCTAGGAGGTCAAATAGCAATAACCTGACTTTCCCTGACTCTGCGGCTTTCTTTCTGTTTCTATTGATTGTCAAACTGGGTCAATCTCGGCACCTAAGCTCTGGAGAACGGCAAGCTTCGTGGCGACGGTTTGCGCGACATAGACCCCCTGAGATGGCTTCAAGCTCAAATGCTTATTACTCATTCATCCGGCATATTTGTCTGATTCAAGTCTGAAGCTGATCATTTAGGAATGACAGCCGCGCTGCTGCCCATTTGCTGCAGGAAGAGCATGATGGACGTTCCTCCCAGATCACATCGAGCTGTCCGTAAGACATATGAGCGTTCTACACTCCG